AATGCTGACGATGCAGCCAGCAGCGGTGTGCATGATTGACATCTAGGGGTTGTATGCGAACATGTGTCAGCGACCGAAGACTCCGTCGCAACGCTTGTGCATGCTCCCTGTCGCTCGAACATGGAACGCGGACTACCATGAGTGAAGCAAACAGCCCGTTCAAACATCTTACTGGGTTCTGTCATTCATGTGTGAAGTAAGTATCATCTTTTGATCTGCATGGATAGCGGATAGTGCATTCTGATTTGTACTCTTGGGTTGTGGGGTGGGTACATGCCTGTACAAGCTTCTTAAGGATATAATGAACTTAGCATCGTTTCACGACTCAGAGGGAATGCAACTACTCTCGATTCTAACGAATTGGCTTTCTTTAGCACCAACAGCAGCCAACAACCCCAAACAGCAACAGCAGCAAAACGGAGCAGACAACAAGCAGCAGGCAGCCATGCAAGCAGCAAGCAGCAGCAACCAGAACCAGCAAGCAGCCAAGAGCATCCAGCAGCACCAAGCATGCAAGCAGCAAGCAGCAGCAACCAGCCAAGAGCCAGGCGCAGATAAGATGCCAGCAGCAGCAGCAGCAGCGACCAAGCAGCAGCAGCAGGTACCGAGGAGGAGAGGAGAAGGGCGGAGCTGAACCCCGCGAGGGGGGGGGGTTCTAGTCCTGATATATCGCGTAGTAGCACTCAGGTCCTCAGCTCCCACCCTCCTTGCTAAAGCAAGACAGACTCCAGCTAGCTACAGCTAGCTTTCGTGATGACCAAATCATCCTCGCACGAACTGTGCATGGAAGAAATACACCAAAAACAACACCTCCTCCCCTCAACGACTCCCGCAGTTCACGGCGAGAACATCGGCCTCTGGAGCTTGGAGGAGGGAGGTGGCTTCTCCTGCCTTGGCATAGAAGTCCTGCGCCAGCGGAGGCACAATCACTATAGGACCTAGGATTCATCTCTAGGATGTTGTGGTAGCAAATATGGAGGATGTTGGCAGGGAGACATGATTTCTTAGCTGGAGTCTCAAGTGCTCCTTGGACGACATCGAGCAGAGCAAATTCAAGATGCCTCCCCATAGTTTGCAAAAATAGAGATATATATAAACAGTTCAAATAATTAGGTACGGTATATTACATTATGCGCATTATGCTTCGTTCGATATAGTTAACTTCTCCAAATTACCCTTCCTCCAACCTTTTCAACTTCCCAAGGAGCTTCGCGGCTTCAATGGGCACCTGGCAGCCCTGCGAGCCCTGACCCGTGACCGACGTGCTTTGACCCAAACCGATCGGTCCTTAAGGACATTGGTGGCCTGAGCTACCGCCGCCTGTGCTTCCTTCCTCAGGGCGGTCGCCGGGCGTCGGCGACCGCTGGCTGTGGCGAGCATGATGTCTGGAACGGTCCGCCCAGGTGGCGACCAATTAAGGCGAGCATGAGTCCGTTTGTACCAGTAGTCGTTTGGACGCCGTGCATGTAGAAAATATAGCCAAACTCATGGCTGATAAAGGTATTACACAAAATCACCAATCAATCGGTAATGCTTGTGCACAGGGGCCTTTCGAACTAGGCATTGACGCCCAGAAGCGGAAGGAGACCAAAAATCCAAAGACGTGGCTTCAGGTTCTCGTGCTCAGGTTCTTGCTCAATGAAAAATGCCCAGACATGCCGAGCTGCGCATCCTTCAAGGTGCCCTCATTCTTGGCCTTCTCCTTCTCTCGGATGGCCGTGGCTTCACTCATGGCGCTCTCCTGACGCACCATGAAGAAAAAACACCGGCAGCGGAAGGAGGAAGGAGGAACGGCAACGTGGGCCTTCAGCAGGGTTCGGGTCTCTTCTCTTCTCTGGAGTGTTCTCAGCAAAAAAAAAATGGAAGTGGACGGCCTGGCCCCTTGGAAAGACCATGTCTACAAACAGGTATAGTCGTTCATAGGTTTTCCACGTCCATGTTTGTTGGAGGGAATTTGAATGAAATTGAAATTCATGGGGTTCGGAAAACATGTTTTTTTGGTGGAACGATAAATAAGACACAAGTCCAGCTGCAAGGTAGTTCCTTGCTCATGCAAAGCAACGCCGTCCGTAATGTCTTCCATTCTTCAACCTCCACTTCAGGCTCTGGAATGAACACCAAGTTCCATAACTAAAGCATCCACTCAAACATCAAAAACCGGCCATCCATGGCCATCCCACATAAACCGTCTACATTTAAGACTTTGTTTGCCAGGCAAAAGTTGAGAACCCTTGATTTCATTGTTTTTTGATTTGAAAGTGATCTGGGAATGATTGCAAAAATTGCTTTACATAGTGGTTTTCGACCGACCCGGGTCTTCGCTCCAGCGAAGTGAGCTCTTTCTGCAACGTCGCCAACTCTTCCCCTCGGGCGGAAGACGGAGACACGGCCGATCTCGGGAGGACACACGAAAGACCGGAGCGACCGGTTTCAACCGGAACAGGGCGGGTTTCGCCGTTTGGTGGGAAAACTGCCCTTTGACAAAGGACCGGGGCAGTGACAGTGACTTCCATTCTATCTATTGCGCTATACATATTTAGAATTGTTTAAACTGTCAAAGAGTTGTACTCAACAGTTTAGCAAATCTGTAGTCACATCGAGTCACGTCTTGGAATGCGAGATGTAGTGAACCTCGATTCAACTTTGAATTTGGTGTCCTTGGATCAAATCATATCTGACTCTGCTGTAACAAAATAAACTAAACACAATTGATCAGAGGTGACTCCAAGAAGCATGTTCCCCGCACCCCCTCGTCCAACTCCTGCCAGATCGGAGATCGGCTTCTGGACCAGTGGCCCAGCTTGGTGATGCTGGCAGTGACCTCGTCGATCTCGGACTGCAAACCCTCGGCCACATCCTCAGTGAACGAGGTCCGGACCTTCTGATCCGATCGGTCCCGGGACATTCCCGGACGGAAGCGTGTCAAGGCCATCCCATCCGTTCTTCACCGTTCCTCGTTGTGATCATCCAAGTAGAACGGACTGGGTATCTAACACCCTGTCATCCTTGCTTGGATCCTGGGTTACCAGCGATTCCAAACTGGGATACCATGGGTATCTAACACCCTGTAGGCCTCTAAATAAACAGGCGCCTCTTATGCCTTCAATAGGCCTTGCCGCTCGACGTCCCTCGCCGGACCATTCGGTACCTTCTCCGCCCGCGAGGACGGAAGATGTGGAACGCAGGGCGGCCAGGGTCATTGAACTGTTAGGATGTGCTTTAGGACTGATTGAACTGTTAGGACTCAGGACTGTTAGGTCTGTTAGGACTGTTAGGAATGCACTGCCTTCGTGCTTTGAAGATGGAATCAGTTGACCTCATTTGAAGAAGGGAAAGTCAAAAGAAGCAAATCGTCTACGGCACAGGCCAAAAATGCTTGATGCTTAACAAGTCTATAACGCTTATACTGACCTTTTGATGTAGTCTGTGGTCGGAAAGCTGATGTTCAACACACAATATACACTATAGACCTCCAAATTGTGCTGTCCCAAACATGTGAAACAACATATGTCCACTGTAGCATAGGTGGTGCGCATTGCCCTGGTGAGGCCCTACATACAAGAAACAACTAATTATGTGTTTCTGTTGCTGAAGGGTTTCAAGGCATGCCATTTCAGGTACCACAAAAGACCCCAACAAATTGCCTTGGCCGGCCAAGGCAGTGCCTCCGATCTGGGAGATCAAATCCGGGATCGGGTGGCCGTGGACGCCGCAAGAACTGGAGGGTGGTCATTGACGTCTTTTAAGAACACGAGACCTCATGAACTGCGGAGCAGGCTCTGCTTTCTCCTCTCGGATGGCTTTATTCTCCTTAAGCTCCGCATCGCACCAGCCCTAGTCGAGTCGCGTGCCGTTTCGAGACGTGGAGAGCACCAGCAGGGAGAACTGCGACAGAGTGAGGCATGAGACAAAGTGACATATCATGATCTATCTTAATGAACGCGTCTCATTGAACTGTGCAGGCTGTTTGTGGTGGCTGGTTGTGGTGTTCTCGGACAGTTGATGGCTCCCATGGCGGCCGTTGATGGCTCCCTTGCTTCTCTTCACTCTGTTTCCAAGCCTTCTTGGTCGCTTCTTGGTTGGCCTCGGGCACAAAGTCACTCGGGCTTCGGCTAGCTGAACATTCAATGAGAGACACCCCGCACCAGTGAGCCTTGATCCATCCCCCGACGAAACAGGTGGCTTAAGAATTGGGACCCTACATGGGCCTCCTACCAAAAAAAGAACTGCTTCCCTCGTGGGCGAAGCGAAGAATATCCCTACTCAGCCTACCCTAAAGGCCTTCCACGCGTATCCATCACAAGGCCTTTTTTCCAAAGCCCTCTCTGAAAGAAGAAGGCACGGGCACACGACACAAAGGTCACAAACGACGGCCCGCCCGTCTCACGAAAAAGAGGTGAAGGACCAGTGCAGGGCCTGTTCTTCCATCTTCACCAGCAGCTGCTCAATCATCGCCTTCACCTGGTGCCGTGAAGCGACCGGGGCGTTCGGGTTCAGCGGGGGCGACCAACGGGGCGACCAGAAAAAGGGTCGACCTGACCGGTCCGTAGACGGTTGGAGAGACTTCTTAGCAGAATTCTCCTGTCATATCTAGCAAGAATGAGGTCATAGATGGATTATTAGGTTATATGTAAGTTATAACCAACAATAGATCTCACCTGCATTTGCGTTGAGGAGGCCATTTGGTAAACTTAGATGGTATTTCCAGGTGATGGATCAGGTGAGACGACCTGGACCTGGCTTCATCAAAGCAACTCCGTATACGACCTGGAAGCAGCTAAGCTGCTTCAGGAGATCCGATTCGTTTGGGTATCCACTTCATGTCTCCATAATCGGAGTATGTTCCATGACGTCCCCTTCCCAAACGGAAGGACTCTGGCGAAGGGGGGTGGTCACTCCTCCAAACTTTGAGGTGGGGAAGCATCCCCTGAGCCGGAATCCTCTGTCTTCACCTGCGCAGGTAATATGCAGGTATACTGTGACTGTGGTAGACTATCGTTGAACTGTGGGACTCAAGTTGCTTCCTGCACAATACTTGCCCCCTGCCCAAAAGATCCCCAAACAATGTACATGAACACCCGAGATCAGGGCCCAGGGGGCCAAGCTGGGCCCCTTTTTGAGGTTGTATACCTATTTTTTCTCCAGAACCCACGGCCATACGAGGATCCCCCTCCTAGACCTCAACCCTCGGATCATCAACGATCCGATCAACTCTGTTTGGGCGTAGTCGGCACCTTCTTCCCGATCCCTTAAGTTCCGAAGCCGCCCATCGATCCTTTTCGAGGAACGCCCCGCGACATGCCGGTCACGCCTTGGACATGGGATCGGCACCGGCACGCGCCGCCATGGCGCTGAGCACCCTGCTGTTAAGTGCAGTGGCTCGTGCCTGGCGGCTCGCGGTTGGGATGTGTTTGGGATGTGTTTGCCTTCAAGTTTTATAGTTCAGTTAGTTGCAGGCCAAATGAATTTCTTCCGTTATAAATGACCAGAACTGGATAGATTTAGATTTGAAGGTTCTCAACAGAGTTGTATCGTTAGTTGTATTGGTTGTGTAACGTTCTGCGACACCAAAACACAAAAAAAAACACCAAAACAGCGACACCAACCATAAACAGCTATAGCGATTCACTGCCCAATGAATCTAAAGGACTTGGTTTGTCTCCTCGGACCTGCGAGGACAATCTTTGAATCTCTGAATCGACACCCAGCATCACCCATCCACTTTCTACCAGCCAGCGAGGATCCAAAGAAAAAGAACAACTCGGATCCAACTCAACCTATCGGTATATCTTGGTATAGAACTGGCTCCCTGGGATTCCCTCAGGTGAAACACGGGCGACCAATGGGTGGCTTCAGGATCGCCAGCGGCGACCTCACCAGTGGGTCTTTTTCTCATTACGGGGCACTGTCACACTGGGCAAACGGACCCCACGGTTGCAAAGCCCAACTGTGACCCCAAGACCAAAACCTCCAAACCTGAACACTTTCTGAAATGAATTTTTGAACACCACGAAATGCCACGAAATCACCAAACCAGTGCAGCTGTGGCTTTTGTCCATATCCCGACCATATCCCGACCCCTACAAGTTACCCCACGAGTTAGGAGTGATGAGGGTACTTACCAAACCTGGACCTACTCCAAGACGATCACAGGCAACCGGCCACCGAAGAGTTGCATTCGGTCGATCGGTCGCCTGCAAGAACTTGGCCACACGCAGCTGCGTGGGCGACTCCGAACGGAGGAACGCCAGGGAAGTTCCCAGGAGAGATGGGAGATGCTTCCTGAGAGCGGAGGTGAGAGACTGTGATCTCATCAGGGTTTCTGGCACATGAGGGGGTTGGTGGGTGGTGTGAAACTTGTTTGGGGGGGTTAGTGAAAGATCAAATAGAACTACTACTTGAATCATCCTCTTTTTTCCCTGGTTTAGACACCTAACCGCACTCAATGACGTGGACGAATCACAGGCTCTTAGCAATTGACTGCTAAAAGCGCACAGCAAGAGATGTCAAGCCTCCAAGCCGAAAAACCCTCTGGGTGGACCCCCTAAGTAAGCATCATCCACTCCTGTGAGTGACGGTCAGACCCTTTTTGAGCAGCTGAACACGTGGAACATCCAGCACTGCCCACGTGGAACGCCCCCAAAACAGCTCCAGGCATATGTCTTGAAGGGCTTTGACTTTAGCCATATGCCATCCTCGCATGTATGATGGATTGCATGTCACCCTTCTTACCGGCAAGTGTAATTCTCACCATCAATGTCGGCTGAAAGAAGGCATGAAATCATTGGTAGCCACCGAACCCTGTTTCTTGGTGTTCCCCTCTCTCTCTCTCTCTCAATCTCTCTCTCTCTCTCTCCCTCCCTCCCTGCGTCTCCCTCCCTCCCTCCCTCTCCCTCCCTCCCTCTCTCCCTCCGCTGTTATCCAACTACTCTATCTCCCATCTACCGGAATTTGATGATTGACAAGCTTCAGGTGTCTCTTTTGGGTGCTCTCAATGGTTTTTAGGCCAGTGGATCCTGCTGACAAGCATCCCCTACTATAGCTCTACCAAGTAGCTTCTGTATGTTATTGTCACATCTCGCAACCAACCATGACCATATTTCAAATCAAATCCCCCAATGAAAGGATGCACCCACAGGGAAGCAACCATTTTAGCGCTGGGACTTCCTTCCCTCTGGCCAAGCGTCTTGGCGTGGCCGGCCACTGCGCCCCCCGCGAGGATCTCCTGCGCCTTGCCCAAAGCCTGACAGCGGGGGCCCGCGACCTGGTAACTGGTCTAAGGAAGGTTGGACTGATGTGATGTACAATGTATGACGACGACGGGGGTATGCATCAAGATCGTGTTTGGGGATAGTCAACATGTTACAACTTGTATTGTGGCAGTCAATGGGTACAATGTATGATGTAACAGTGATTCTTGAGGGTCATGTGAGATTATATACCGTAGTCAGTGGGTGTTTCCATCGTGTAACTACAGCGTTACCGGCATTACACATCATGAAGACTTCATGGATTTCCAAAGGATGAGGACGCTTTTAGCAGCAAATATAATCAAATATACCCTAGAAGTCCAAAGACTATATTTTGACCGGCTGAAGTAAAGAAAGTTCCCTTTCAGGTCCCCTAAAGACCATTATATTGGCACATTCCCTCCATTTCCTCCTCCCCCTCTCTGGTTTTCGGGGCTGCGCCGCCCGGTCCATCCAAAAGAAATCACTGGACCACCACCCGCCCAGTTTGGCCCCTTCACCCCCTTCTGCTCACCCCAGGACCGTTTTCGAGCGCGTGGGCACCGGGCACATGGTGCCCCTTTCCGAGCGCGAAAAGCGGTTTTTTCGGCTCCGCGAGGTGCTCTACGAGCGCCTCAATCTCTTCAGTCCGCAGGGCTTTCCGTTCGGCGAAGGCGGCGGACTTCTTCTCACAGGTGGCCTTTGGACCGGTTTGGTGCTTCACTGCTCGACGGGGACCCGGGGTTCTCTTCGCTCCTCCAGAACCCGGTGGGGTTTTCCCCGGTCATCCGGGCCGCATGCGGATGACGCCGATGCATCACGTCCATAGGCGTTCATGCCGAACGATTGGAAGGAAGCCCCCCTTTGCGACCCCCGTAAAGGTGGTGGTCGAAAGTGTGGTGTGTTTCTATAGAAGCAATATATTACATAAAGAGTTCGTGGTGGGATCCAGTTTACTGTTCTGTCATTTCCTCCAAAATCGCAGCAAAACAGGATCATTACGGATCATTGCCGACATCACTGGCAACATCTGGACCAGCAAAGCACCTTTGAGCATGGGTACAAGTGAAATACAACTCACTTTGGAGGTTGAGACCCCCCTGCTCATTTTCCACTAACGAGTCTGTAAAGGGTAGGTTATCTTGTAGGATCATGTCATACCTGATGTTCTTGTAGGTTGTCTTGGCGGGTGCAGGTCATAGCTGAGTCATAGCTTGTTCTTCCCCATCCCGATATGACAATCTCAGCCTTGAGATCCTTGGCGTACTTCTCATCTGACGCCTTCTCCGTGGTGGTCTCTGCCAAATCTCCCTCTGCCTAGGCCAGAGAGCCCGCCCATGCCGCGGTTGCGCAAGCTGCAAATAGACACCTCTGGGGCTTTGTAACCGCATGGATACAGCTAATTATGCTGACATAATGGTTACATGTATAGTGGTTTCAGATGGCACAATCCCCAAGTTAATGGCAACACCGGAATAATCACTCCCAACTTCAAGGAGACCACATCCCCTTAATAAAGGTGATGACCTGATAAGATTCTGTGTGAACCATGAGGCCTGTAGATGTTGATAGAGTTTAATAAGGGGAAAATGAAAGAACTTTGCTACAGTTTTTAGAGATTTTGTGGGCCGATGGATGCTGACCAAAAGAAGAACATTTAAGATATTATATAGCTTGATTAATTTATGGAGGTTACTTAAGCCTCGTGTGCGCATTAGGTGATCTATATGGACCCCCATCTCAAAGACCTCTTGGGGTGCCAGTGCCATCAAACCTCTGAAACTACTGTACATGTTGCTACTAGTAACAAGAAGCTAGTAGGTTGGAGGCCATCGCTATTAGGTTGGAGGCCATTACTAGTAGTAACAAGAAGCTATATAATTACTGGTAACAAGGCACCTTACTAGTATGCATGCATTACATGGACCTCTGGCCAGTTGGCTCCTGTTGAGTCCACGGTGGGGTTTCCCAGGCCATCTTCGAGATGCATCACACCTGGAGGCGTCATGGTGTCCTCCGTTGCTGGTGCCAGGTCTTTCATGTGATTCCTTCCACGATGAGCATTTGAACATGTCTGCTGCATGGATTCGGACATGATGACTATGGGCGATCGCCAGCCAATTGGAGACGGTCGCAAGAAACATGATACATGGTTTGGCCGCCACAACCCTTCCAATCCCCAAAACATCTACGGCACGTAGCTTCTTCCTCCAAGCCACAGATGCCTTCGTTTGCAAACGCTTGGCCCTGAACTGCGACTTGGACTCGATCTCCTTTTTGGACTGGGCGATGGCGGCTTCCAAGCTCGCCGCCAGCTTCTCATGGGCGTGTTTTTTGGCCTCGCTCGGGGGTCGAGATCGAACTCGATGCGGAAGAAGAACCTGTTCTGTCGTGCTGTTCTGGTTGGGGGTCAGCAAAAAAGGTTGCAGCTCTCAAGTTCTGGTCAGTTGGTCTCTTGTTATTGAAAGTGAGCTCAAAGCCAACCTTCTTTTGATAGAAGGTTAATTACGTGCGACGATCAAAACTCATTATGTGTGGTGTGGTCATGGTATCGTTTTTTTCAGGGTTCCCATCGTCTCACGCAATGCGGAGCTTGTTTTGGCTAATTCCTGATGTATGTATCGAATCCTTTCTGGGAACTCCCTTCGTGTCAAATCATGAAGGATCGTTTTAAACAGGTGTTTACCTTTAGCCTGTTCACCGAATATCAACCGAACCGGGGGCTTTCCCCTTTAGTCCTGTCCCCGCGGGTCCTGACCACGGCTTGGACCAACCGGTCTCAGGGTCCGACCCGACTCGGTCCTCACCGGTCGACCTGACTCCACGTAACGATGGTCCACGACATCATCGGCTCTCCCCCCCACAATGGCTTGACATAGGTAGTATATAGATGCTGGTGGACGTACCTATAAGATATTTTTTGGGGTTGAAGCTGTTATGACTATTCTGAATCCTCACAGGCATCGTACACTTAGTCTTTAGTCTATCATCGTTTCACTCAATGGTGTTTCAATGTTGTTCATGCTAAGATGATTCGATAAACATGGGAATATTTACATCTCCTCGACCAAACACGAGGGGAAACAATCACAGTTTGAGTGTGAATCCAAAACAACACCACCACAAACCACCATGCAGCCCACGCGGTCCGTGAACTGACCGTTAGCCCTGTTGAACTTCAGGAGAATCATTCGAAGCTCAGGTTCAAAGAATCTCTAGAGTTTTATAGGACTCCTGGAAAGAAACCCAAATCCTAGAAACGACTTAGTTGCAGTGCAGATTCCACGAAGTACTTGAAAAAAGTTCTAAATTCCAAAAAGATTCCACACACGCTTCCACACAAAGAAGACCATTTCTGGTGGATGAGTGGCCAACTCCTCCTTCTCGAGCGTGGAGCGCTCAGCCACGAACTTCTCATCCAAGTTCTCCAGCAGACTCACCACGCCGCCCGATTGGAACTCGTACATCTCGGGCTCCGAGCGGTGCGCCTGGAACCGGAGGATCGGTCGCACCGATGGGTAATAAAAAGGAGAGGGTGGGGTGAGGTGAGGAGGTGAGGAGAAGGAGAGGGGCACCAAATGGACAATATAGTATTTGTATATTGAATATTAGTATTGGGACCTTTTTTGGGGTGGGAGGCTTTGAGAAGTTTGGGATGTTGACCGAAAATGCAATTTGCTTGCATCAATGGCACACAGCAACTAGTACAACATTACATGCTATGTGCAGCGCCAGAGCCTGGGCTGTGGTTTTCATGAGCAGACTTGGCTTCTTCTCAGAAAGCGCCAAGTACTCATCAATGCTCTTGATGGCATCCAGCGGTAGCATCTTCTTCACCTTCCAGTGTTCCGGGGCAAACTCGCTCTTCCTCCAATGATTCTCGGTCTGGGCTGTGCAAACATGCAATTACCGACTTATAATTGCTGTAAAATGACTTGAATGGACTTACCTGAGCAAACGCCCACATGCCTGACACATCCAAATCCCCAAAAAGGGCAGCAAGCTCCAGTCAATCGGAGTAGTGATTATGGGGAGTAAATAAGTCCCAAAACCGCTCTCCGGGATGAGTTAACCTAAGTCTCAAGGTGAGTCGTCTCTTTTCGTAACTGTCAGCAAGGATTTGGGGTGCAAAATCCGATCAGCTGCCAAAACACCACCGAACACACCACCGTGGGTTACCACGAAAACCACTCGGTGAAAAACAGGTGAACCAAGCGTCAAGAGGACAAAAAAGCAACACCACAAAGTCTACTTCACGATCTGACAAACAAAACTAAGGCCGAAACATGCCGAAACTCGATCTCTGGTGGTGCCCCTTTGCAGTAGTAGTTACCAATTCAGTGAGGGAAACCACTTCAAGCGTACCATCTCCCAAGTGCTTCGTTTGTCCCGAGCATGTAGGACGGCTGCCCAAAAGCCGCATGGAATGCCATCCTCGCCTCATTGAGCTGCACCAACGAGGGCCCTGCAGCGGTCTCCTTGAGGACCTTCAACGCGCTTCCAATGGCGTTGATGGACTCCGTGTAGTCCTGGCATCTGACGCGCCTGCCATATAGGGGCTTCCCAACTCCCAACAGTCTCGTCGTTTTGGGACGGCACGTGGCCTGGCCATGCCTGGCCTTCTTTTCCGAACGACCATGTTCACTTGGCACGTCAACCCGTGCGGATGTCTCGGGACCTTGAGAGTCGCCAGGAAGTTGGCACGCGCTTTCTCCCGAATGCCGGTGGCGTTGGCCAGCCTTAGCCAAGAGGCCCAAAGCGGCCAAGCAGAGCTGACCGGTGCCACAAGGTGCGGTGGTTCAGAGAAACCGAGAGGATCTAGAAAAGCCAAAAGCAGTGGAACAAGGGAGCCGGAAAAAAATAGAAACAGAAAGAAACATCACGATATATCATGGGTATTCATCTTGATATATGATTGATATTCTGATGGAATATCTCATGATCTTACTACTTGGGTCACACCATGAATGCTCCTTCTGCTCCCAGATTTGGGGTGCTTTATGAGTCTTTATGCTGCTTCGATGTGGAGAACGGTTCAGCCCCTTAGTTCACATGGAGACATGGAAGAGTCTCCCATGTCAATGCAACATCATGCAACATCTACCCTTGTCCAGGACGGCCCTGAGACCTTCCAAAAAGGACACCTTACTTTGACAAACCCTTCAAAACTCTCCCCAAGCAGACTTGATCCATAGAAACACGTCCTCGAAGTCCACTTCCTTTGGTGATCTACATTCCCTAATGGTCCAAATACTTTCTCAGGTACGACATGCACCCTCAGAAGGTACTACATGACGAAGCTACTTCCGGATCACCAAACCGAAGCTACTTCCGGATCCCCAGCGCCCTAGGAATTGATCCATCAAAACAGGGCCCAGTATGTCGACTCTCCTTCGTGCCCCCTTGCGCCGCCCGTGACCCCGGTCGTCGCCGTGACGGCTCGTCTCATCTCAGCAGCTCGCCCGACTGCGTTTCCAGGTCGACCTGTTCGCGTGGTCCAGGGGGGAAGCGTGGAGCGCCGATTCTCCCCTCCCAATCGCCCAGCGGTTGAAAGAAAGGCGCCAAGATCCACATTCAAAGCAGTCTGTAGACTCAACAAATGCATCCATTTCACTTATTCTGGTGCCAGAGTGTTTTCTGCGATGTTTTCAGAAACATCGCCTGATGCTGCGCCAGCTCCGTCTCCAGGCGTGTGGCATCGCTACCGGCCGCTTCCATATCCGCGGTCAGAAGCCTGACCGCGCAACCCGAGCGTTCAGCAAGCGTTCACCGAGCCGTCTACTGCATCGTGTTCGACACTTCAGCTTTTGAACTCTGACTCAATTTGTGTCATAAACTTGGTTTTAATGTTTTTCGTTTCACCTTTGAACTTCTTGAAGTTCCAAAAAGGGTGTTTTGACGTTCTGTATTCAATGTATTCATCGACCTTTGTTGCTGAGAAGGGCGGTACGAGGCTTGTTTGGTCGGATCTTGTTGTGCTCAACTGGGCATCAGTTTTGGCAATGGCACTGATCCCGAAAAAGGTGGACTCAAGGAAATATGCATTAAAACAATATTAACATGTAAAACATAATGCGGTGTCCTCTAATGTATTCTATTCTCTTTTCATTCATAGTGGGGCAAAACCATATTAGGCATTATAGGCCACCAGGCGACTATGGGTTCGGCTGTGGATCACTCGCCATGGATCCACCACCCACCCTAGTCGTGGCTGGATCAAGCCATTCGGCATCTGGATCAGTGGAGGAGAGCCCCAAAAAGGTGAACTGATGGAATCCAATTCTATAAACCTTTCGGCCGTTTGTTGGGAACCTGATCGGACTTTGCTGAAACGTCGAGTGGCACATGGGACAGTTTCGGCGGCGGACCCCCCCAGGGTCGGTCGAAGGGGTCGGTGCATGCCCATCTGCGGTCGGTCGGGATGACCGGTAGAAGAAGACCCCCGGTGACACGCAGCGTGGTTTCATGGTGTTTAGAGCTTAGACCTCTACATCCATTCTGAAAGATTCCAATCTTGAGGCGGTTGACATGCAGCAACAGGTGTTCTTTCATCTCCCTTTCATAGGGACTGCCTGAAAAAGGTCAATTCTGACATCCCACAGTGACCACACACATCTCGCCGTGCTCACCCACATCTTCTGCGAGATGCTCGATCTTGTCTGCTGCTTCAGTGATGGACTTCCCCTTTTCCGTGAGTGTTGCATCACAGAACTCCTTGAATTTGGCATATTGCACCTCCTCCTGGTGAGGAGGGCGTTCGACTCGGAACGCGACTGTTTTAACGAAGGCTGATGAACGGGCTGTTTGGATCTCGGCGTTCTCTGTTTCGGTCAGTTGACGGTGACGGGAGCCGGAAGTCGGTTTTTATGCAAAGAAATGCTGAATTTATATTGCTTCTCATAGATGCTAATGAAGGCAAGCCATGCCAATGGGATTCAGTGAATGTCATCAACTTCTGCAGTTCAATAGCAACTCTTGGACACAATCATCTACTGTATTTTCCTTTTCCAGCCGCAAGCACCCTGTTCAAACGTCTTTGACAGAATCGGCAGCAACGGTGACGGAGAATTCAATCTGGTTCACCACCTCGCAGGCACCGTTGGTTGAAATCATACACAGTCACATGGTGCTCTGCTCCTCCTCCAAGGCCTTCTGACCTTTCTCCTTCATGTCTACAATCATCTGGATGACTTTCTGCACAGGCGTCACATCAAGCCTCAGACTGGTCGATCAGTGACATTGAACTGAATCCATTATCGAATAAATGCCTGAGATCTTGAATCCTGTCCGTTTGCTGAACTGGGTTTCATTGGTCCAATGTTTGTCCTTCCTGAAGGTAAGTGGCGGTTGCTTCATCCCTGTCTTTTGGCGCTGTCTGTTGGTTGGAAAAAGAAGACGAACGGTCCTTGAATTCTGGAAACCGAACGCCTTCTCTGATAATATACAAAAACACATAAAAACTCTTATACATGAGTTGGTGTCTTTTATGATTTGCTTGAGGTGTTTGCGTACACAGTTTTTGACATGTTGCCATTCCTCTTTTCGGGTATTGGATTTTGTCTTCACATCTACAACTTTTGAGAAGCTCAATGGTGGACTGTAGAAGTGACTGTAGAAGTGGATCTTGTGGTGGGAGCCATGTTTCGATCGAGATCTGTTCGAGATCTTGTTGAGGGTGCCCATATGTGCCGATCATGGTCTTCACCATGAGAGCAACAAACCACACCCGACGTTTTCGAAAGGCGGCCCAAAAAAACACGGCAACCCTTGCATGCTCCCACTCTAGATGAAGGGAACCCTGCCCATCAAGTTCCCATGTTGAATGTCAAGACCAAGGGATATCAGTTTAACACCAACACAGGGTCTGCATCAAACCCTCCAAAGACGATCATTTGTGACGATCATTTGCTCAGCTCATCTCACGTCCCGGACGCTTGGACTCCACATCCCAGACGCCCCGACGTCCGGGACGGTCCGGGACGCCCCGACGCGAGCCGCGTCCCCCCACCCTTCGCGGCTCCGAAAGCTGGTGCTGAGAGGCGAGAGAGCTGTCCAAAGGGAGGTCCCCAAGATGAGACACCACAGGCGCTGCATTGTAACGGTCGACCGGGGACGGGGCCAAGTGGTCTAGAGTCTAGAGTCTATAGAGTCTACGACTGCCCTTGAGCCCGTCCTGGCACTGGTACGTCGGAAGATGATGCGGAGAAACTCTGGAAGAGGGGAGGGGAGAGGTTAGGAAGGGAGCACTAGGGTTTGGGGGGGGCCTTAAGCAGTCTGGCGAGATATGTGCAAAACTGATCCAGCATTTTTGGGGTTTGAGTTGTGCAATTAAGGATCCTCTGCCCAACATGGACATGAGATACCTGGCCATGGCTCAAAAATACAATCCACACCCACACTTCAAAGCGAACATGGCTCAAAACCTGTGGATTTCTGGCGGTTTTGCGGACATCTCTTCACAGGTTCTTGAGCTGTATGCAGCAAAACATGACCAGTGACATGGTCCAATGATGTCAAAAGCTTCTTTCAAACATCATGCAACTGGCAAGGCCAACAATCAAAAAAGTTCATACAAAGACCCCCAAATAGATAGAAATGTGGATCCCCACTCAAAAGGTATTGGGTTTCCCCGTGCCATCCTCTCTATTTGGTGACCACTATAACATCGATTCCGCGACCTCTCATCCCAAATCGATTCCGCACCGGACAAAACGCTGCGCTCCGGTGACGGTCGACGGAGGTGAACGGAGGTCGGTGCTTTTTCGACGCGAGTCGAGCGGGCGGGCGTTTGGCGCTCGCGCCAGGCAAGCCGCGACTCTCGGCAACCCGCCTGATGGCGGATGGGCGTCTGACATTGGACGGAAGATAGAGATATAGGCTTAGCTTTAGATAGGCTGGACCTTGAGGGCCATCTCAGAATTGATGGCTTAGCCCAAAGAGGTTGTTTCATATCCATGTATTAGTGAAATACGCCGTATAATAGATGATGAATGTGAATATGGCTATGGCTTCAGTGCATCGTAGTGAAAGCAAAGGACTAGCTGTGGCTTCAGTGCACTCTTTGGTGGCAGCAAAGGATAGCATTTTATATATGTAGCAAGGATTTGTTTTCTATAGGGAAAAAAGGGGCTGCAAGGCATGTCCTGTATACTTATGCGACACCTCCAGCTGCTCCGACTCAAACGTCGACGCGGTGTTCTCACCCTATCGCAACGAGCGCAGCGACTCGCAAACAGTGGAGCGGAGCGTCTCCAATCGGTTGAAGTGTTGGAGCGCATTGAACAGCGCATCATGGTGCTGTGGCCACTGTTTTCAGACAAGCAAAGGGTTGGCGGGCCAGGCCCGCCCAAAGGCCCAAAACAAACAGTTCAACAATGGTATCGAATTTCAATCGATGTGTGTTTCAATGTGTGTTTCAATGATTTTTGGCCACACTCAAATTCAATTGTGCTTTGGAATGATTCCCTTCTATCGGGAAGAATCAATCAATACAAATCCCTGATGGAGGGGCACCATCTGGTTGAATCGGAGGAAGAAAGCAACCCACCAACAAATGAGCACTGACATGACACGCTCTTTTCCTGTCATCCGACGCACACAAGAGTGGACAGAGCCTCGAACAAACACTTCTCCCTGTCTCTGACAATGTAATTTGTTGGAAGCGAAAAACATGCGTCTAAGACGCTTGTGCTTGCCAACATTGTTCCAGCTCAACTGCACTTTTGTGCAAACAGCAGAGCAGGACAAATGTTTAAAAAAAGGGTGATTCGAGATTCAACACATGGCATCAAACAAACAATTAGAAAAAAAAACACTGGATTTGATCCCCATATCTCCAGTGAAACCATGTGAGATCCCTCAAACCACCCCGGAGACGAAAGAAACCAACTTGTTTTCGGATGTATATTTGTTCTACAATTAAACAATTCCATTAGAAACTGACTTTCTGCAGGTCACCAACGCTACCATCCTCATTTTCCGAACGATCCTCCTCGAAGTTCTCCGCCTTCGCGACTGCGTCACTTCCGTGGTGCAAAAATTCCTGCACACCGCAGCGACCAAAGTTCCAAGTCCCAGGTCAGTGGTGTTTTTTAACCAAAAAAACAAGGACCACCATCGAGAAAGGGCATGGTGATGGAGTACCCCAGGTCATTGGTAGTATCATGGTCAAAAATGGGCATAGAGACATGTGTGATCAAAAGAAACATGATGGAGTTCTCCTGGGCGCTCTGAAGCATTGTCAGCCGTGTAAGCCGTTGATTGAAGCTTTGGAGGGCCACACGCATATGGAAGAGCTGCTGTTCACTGCTTGGACAAATCTCCATGGAAATCAAGGTGATGGAAGAAGTGATGATATTCAGGTCAGACGGATTCATCCGCATCAGTTGGCCCTCCAGAGTGGTCACTTCAATATCCATCCTAAGTCAACAGGATCGAAAAGGTACGCAGTCTGCAGAGGCCACGTTGCGATTAAACCTGTGAATGTGCCAAGCATCGGAAAAAAGACACACATGTTGCTTGATTGGATCCCAACAAGCGCCAGTAAGCTTAGCTGGGGGGAAGAGAGCTCTCTTGCGGCAAGAAACAAGTTCGAGAACGCAGCACAAACAAGTGCACAAAATACACAAGCACAAGAACACGCATAAATGAGAGTATCATATAAGGCACGCAAATGCGTGTAGGACCAAGGATCAGAACACACATATTTGAACACACATATGCTCGCATGTGTGTGTGTGTGTCCAACCCTGGAAAAAGGGTCTTCCAACACTTTTCCTCA